TTGCCTTGGAGTGCACTGGCCTTGGGAAGCATCCAACAATCCCAACTCTGACTCTAGGCATCTCAGCCCCATCTCTCTGGGTGTGTCTTCTGTTTAGGGTGGACCTGGCCAGTAGTCTCAGTAGGAAATGCCAGCCTCATTCCTCCAGAGAGACCTGGAAATATCTCCTGTGTCCACTCAGGCTAAAATATGGTCTCATTTTTGAGTAGGTCTGGTAATGTCTGTTCGAAGAAGAGATCTGAGCTAGTATCCTAACTGTGGTCTCCAAATACCACCTTCCACTAAGTGGAATGACTGATTCCAGACCTGAAGTAGACAAGGTATAAGATAAGTCTGGAATGTCTGGTCATCCTGGAATGCAGGAACTCATGGAGGTCCTCTGATCTTGAAAGGTCTCAGAAGGACCCAGGAGCCTCCTGAAGAGATGGAACATTCACATCATCAATAAAATATAACCTAAGCCAAATAGGTCAAAGGAACAGAATAGAGAGCCCAGAAATAGACCCACACAAATATAGTCAAATGACCTGTGACAATGGAGTAAAGGAAATCAATGGAGAAAGGATAGTTCTTTTAATAAATGGTGCTGGAACAACTGGACATCCATATGCAAAAAAATGAATCTAGATACAGACCTTACACAAAAGTGAACTAGAATGAATCACTGACCCAAATGTTAAATGAAATGCTATACAACTTCTAGAAGATAACATAGGAGAAAATGTAGGTGATGGTGCGATTGGTGATGAGTTGAAGATAGAACAGCGAAAGCATGATCCATAAAAGGAAAATTGATCAGCAGGACTTCATTGGAATGAAAAACTTCTGCTCTGAAAAAACTGCTGTTCATGGAATGAGAAGATAAGTCTTAGACTAGGAGAAAATATTTGCAAAACACATATCTTGTAAAGGCCTTGTATCCAAGTATACAAAGAACTCTTAAAACTCAACAATATATATAAAACCCAATTACAAAATGTGCAAAATGTCTGAACAGACACCTTACCAAAGAAAATATACACATGACGGTAAGCATATGAAAAGATGCTCAACATCATATGCCATTGTTGTTATTAGCTGCCATCTAAATGATTCCCAAGGAGCCCTGGTGTGTAGTGGTTAAAGTGATTGACTGCTAACCCAAAGGTCAGCAGTTCGAAACCACCTGCAGCTCCAAGGGAGAAAGATACGGCAGTCTGCTTCTGTAGAGATTTACAGCCTTGGAAACTCTGTGGGGTCGCTATGAGTGGGAATTGACTTGGTGGCAGTGGATTTGGTTTGATAGTTGATCCTGGGTCATAGCAACCCCATGTGACAGAGTAGAACTGCTCATAGAGTTTTCTTGGCATAATCTGTATGGAAGCAGATCACCAGGTCTTTCTCCTACGGAACTGCTGGGTGGCTTCGAACTGCCAACCTTTCAGTAAGCGTCCAAACATCTAACCTTTGTGCCACCAGGGCTCCTTCCATATGTCATTAGGGAATTACAAATTAAAACAACAATGAGATACGACTAATGCACTACCGTTGAGTTGATTCTGACTCATAGTGACACTGTAGGACACAGTAGAACTGCCCCATATGGTTTCCAAAGCTGTAATCTTTATGGAAGCAGACTGCCACATCTTTCTCCTGAAAGGTGCTGGTGGGATCAAACTGCTTACCTTTCAGTTAGCAGCAGAGCATTTTAATTACTGTGTCACAGAGGCTCCTTGAGATACTACTATACACCTATTAAAAGGGATAAAATCCAAAACACTGACATCAAATACTGGCTAGGATGTGGAGCAATAAGAACTCTCATTCTTTGCTAGTAGGAGTGCAAAATGGTGTAGCCATTTTGGAAGACAGTTTGGCAGGTTCTTACAAAGCTGATCATAAACTTACCATGTGATCCAGCAATCACTCTCTGTCTTAGTTATCTAGTGCTGCTACAACAGAGATACCACAAGTGGATGGTTTTAATGAAGAGAAGTTTATTTCCTCATAGTCAAAGTAGGCTAAAAGTCCAAATTCAGGGCGTCAGCTCCAGGGGAAGGCTTTTTCTCTCTGTTGGCCTTCTTCTGTTTGGTGTTCCCCTGGACTAGGAGCTTCTCTGTGCAGGGACCCCAGTCCAAAGGACGCGCTCTGCTCCTGGCGCTGCTTTCTTGATAATATGAGGTCCCCCGTCTCTCTGCTCACTTCAGTCTTTTATATCTCAAGAGATTGCCTCAGGACACAATCCAGCCTTGTAGATCCAGTCCTGCCTCACTAACACAACTGCCACCCATCCTCCCTCATTAACATCATAGAAGAGGGTTCACAACATACAGGAAAACCACACAATACCAGGAATCACGGCCTAGCCAAATTGATACACATTTTTTGGGGGACATAATTCAAACCATGACATTCTCCTGGGTATTTACCCAAATGAATTGAAAATTTATGTTCACACAAAAACCTACACATGAATGTTTATAGCAGATTTATCAATAATTGCCCCAAACTAGAAGCAACCGAGACATAGTTCAATAGGTGAAAAGATAAACAAGCTGCGGTACATCCATAAAATGGAGTATTACTCAGTGATAACAAGAATTGAGATAACAAGCTATTGGAAGACACGCTATTGGGTGCCATCAAGATGATTTCAACTCATAGTGACCCCATGTGACAGAGTAAAACTGCCCTATGGGTTTTTCTAGTGTGTAATCTTTACAGAAACAGATCTCCAGGTCTTTCTCTCTAGGAGCTGCTGTTATCAGCTGAGCGCTTGTCTGTGCCACCCAAGCTCCTATGGAAAGACACTGAGGAACTCAAATGCATATTGCTAAGAGGAAGAACCCATTGTAAAAAAGCTAAATGAATCCAAGTAGTCATGTGTCGCTTAATGTTCACAATACCTTCTGTGAAATAGGACATTATGCGATTTGGACGTTGTGCAAACACCTAGTTTATCTAAGGTTTCAACAAATTCTGCTGCTGCCTTAGCATCAGCACTCACAAACTCATCACTCACTTTTATACTATGCAGTGAAAAACGCTTGAAGCTCTTGAACTACCCAGAGCTAGCACTAAACTTGACATCGTAGTCTGGTCCTGTTTTTTCTTTAGGAATCTTGAACAAGCTTCCTGCCTTAGCAGTGACCATCAACGTGCTGAGAGGGATTCGGTTTTGTGTTTGGTTCTCAGTCCATTAGCAATTTCTCCGTATCTGGTATAGGTGGCTCTCCTATTTTTGTTAGCCTTATAGCTTTCAGTGGAGCCCATCCTTTAACAGAATGGAGAATTTTTTTCTTTATTTTTGAGGTTATACCCACTAAATCCATTTCTCTGATGGGGATTTCTGAACTCTATTATAACCTTATGGGACCATGGACATATTCGTGGTTGGAAGTCACCTGAATGGATGTTACGCAGCATATGACTGTATTCTGGAAAAGGCAAAACTATCGAGATAGTAAAAAGGATGAGTGGTTGCCAAGGATTTGGGAAGAGGAGGGCAGTGAATAAATGGAGCACAGGGCATTTTTATGGCACTGAAACTATTCTAATGGTGGACACATGACGTTATTAGTCAAAACCCATGGAAATGTACAACACAAAGAGGGAACCCTAATGTAAACTGTGGACTTTGGTTAATAATAATGTGTCAATATACGCTCATCAATAGTAGCAAATGTACCACACTAACACTATGGGAACTGTTTGTTCTTTCTGCACAACTTTTCTGTAAACCTTAAACTGGTTTAAATACTAAAGTTTATTAAAAAATAAAATTCTATATAATCACAGAAGTGTCTGGGGGGCTGTGTCACTATGGAAGCCTGACCTTGCTTGTAGCCCCAAAGCCACACTCCCCTGCCCTGACCTAGTCTGACTGGCCCTGACCCTCATCTTGAGTTTGCTCTGGAGAATCCTTATGTAACATCATCGGGGGCCCATTGTGGGCCTGGGATGGCACACTTTTTCATTTGCTCCAATTTCATCCTTGTCTTCTCCCTCATGCTATGTGACCATCCCCAAGCTCCATCCAAAAACCTACCCTTAAGTGTGCTCTAACCTGATTTAGATGCCAGGACTCTTCATGTCCCAGATCCCAGCATCATGTGAACATTAACTCGGAGCCTAACTTAGCCCCACACCAGACTGATCCTATACAGATGGCCCCTCTGTGCCTCAGCCTCATCCCACACTCTCCCACCAGTGTCCATGGAACACTGGTGTTTCCAAATATTCCAGAGAGCCCTAAGCTGGGCAAGATGGCCAACATGATCTGGGAAATGTTGGCTGACCCAACATGAAACTATTTATCTACTGCAGAAGTTTCAGTCGCTCTACTTGGCTAATATGCCTTCTGAAAGTTTGAGAAATACACACCTATGTGGCATTTCCCTAACCTTCCGGAGACTCCCTGGTGACAGCACAGCGACGGACCTCTTCACTGGTGAATGCTCTCCTGTCTGGAACCCTCACCCAGAACCTGGAAGTGGAACCTCATCTTGTGCTCAGACCCTGGTCCTGGCTCAAAGGTCTTCATCCTCCCATGGCCTGTCTCCAGCCTCCTCCTGGGCACCTGTGACTCTCCTCATTTCTCCCCAATGTGATACTCAGGGTCCATCCTCTGCTGTATGACCTCCCTTGGTCCCTCTCCTTCCTGGGTGGATAAGGACTGCATCTCAAGGCAGTACCTTTGGGGACAATACCTGCTATGATCATGGTTCCCTCAGAACATGGAGCTCACCGTGGTTCCCTGTGTGCTGTGGTGGGAGGACGTCAGGAGATGTGGGCGCCACAAAGGAACTCCCCCTGCCCCTGGTGCGGGGACCTTCCTCGGAGACGCAATTGGGCGCAAATGATCATTGGACATACTATTATCTTTATTGAGGAGAAGTAGAGATGGGGAGAATGTAGGGGTCCACCCAGGTCTGATCTGAGGGGATGGGGGTATAGGAGCATAGAACTCCTACCCAGAGTCCAGCTCCTCTGGGCCCTCCTGAGTAGAGAACCTCAGGGTCCTAAGCACAATCTTCAGGGGCCACCTTCTTCTCCACAGTGCTTCCCTCATTTGTGACCTGGCAGCTGTAGCTGTTATAAGACCTCCACTGGGTGGGTGTCAGGGTCAGGTAGCTGCTGGCTGCATGCTTTTTGTTGCTCTGTTTGGAGGGCTTGGTGGTCTCCAAGCCCTGGGTGATGGTTGTGCCATCTTCCTTCCAGGTCACAGTCACGGCGCCTGGGTAGAAATCATTCATGAGACACACCAGTGTGGTCTTGTTGGCTTGGAGCTCCTCAAAGGACTGTGGGAACAGAGTGACAGAGGGGGAGGCCTTGGGCTGACCTGCAGGGGTAGGGGTGGGACATGAGGTCAGAGGTCAGGCATCCACAGTGGGGAACCCTGACCTCAGTATGTGACTGGGAATTGGGCCCCCCAGACCCAGGTGCAGAGCAGGGTCCAAAAGCTAGATCTAAGATGAGCCTTAGGATCTGTGTCAGTGTAGAGGTGGGTCTGGGGTGTTGCTCAAACAACTCCCATCTCACCTGGCGGCCCTGAGCCTGGACATCTACCCATCACCTTCCCAAAATCCATCTCTCATGGCTTACCCCTCCCCCACCCAGAAGTCTGACCCTGACCCCTGCCCTACCTCCTCTTGACATCCTGACAGGGTCTGTCTGGGTCTCCCTGTCCCCGAGTGGGTGATGTGAGCTCTCTGACTCTCCTGTGGGGGCCACTCTGGGGACAGTTGTAACCTGACGAAGGTTCTCGGTGGACTTTGGTCCATGTGCTGTTTTCCCCAAATCTGTCTCTCCTGAAGGGTATTTTATAAGGGAAAGAGTTTGCAGATCAGAGGAATCTGTCTGTCTGGGGTCTGTCTTATTCTGCAGAGTCAGTTTTGGGGGGTCCCTTCTGACTTCTTTGTCATATCTGTGATTTCATTCCATGGGATCTGTTGCCTTTTCCATTAGTGACTTGTGTATTGGAGCCACTATCTCCTGCAAAGACCCAGGATTCATTTTCTGCCTCATACCCCATCCCTGATAACCCTCCCTTGGTTTTGGGGTCTGGAACTTTCTCCTCTGTCCTCCTTCCCACTAAGTCCCAGGCAGCTCAGGGCTCCGTGCAGGGCAGACCCACATTGGCTGGTGGATCCCGCCACCTCCTGTCACATTCCACGTGTCACATTGTCCAGGGGAACCCAGCCCTGAGCCTCTGACCTGTGGTCCCCAGCCTCCACAGTGAGAGTTACAGGTCCTGTAGATTCTTTCAGGGGGTCACCTCTCAGTGGCCACTCATTCCCTCTTTTCTCTGAGACCAGGACTCCAAGGGATCCCCACAGACTGAGGGGAACTAAAAGAAAACCATTTGGGGAGGACAGGACAGAACAAAACTTAGGGCCCAGCTTGTCCCTTAGAGAGAAAGATGAGGTCCTGGGTCACTCCGTTCATCCTCTGCTTGTGGGGTCAGAGGTGAAGGGCTAATGGTGGCCAGCTGGAGGCACAAAGGGTGTCTGAAAATGGAGGGGAAGTGTCCAGGGTTTGCTGAGACCAGCTTCTGAGTGAATCTCTGACCCTAGGCAGAGAGAAAACACAGAACGTTGCAAAAACAGCAGAGAGTTGTTCAAAACATTGGGGAGGCAGGGAAAGAGGAGAGAAGAGACTCACCTAGGACGGTCAGCTGGGTCCCTCCATCGAACGCCCAACGCTGTGACACAGGCTCGCACAAAAACCCTCTCTGTGATGCCCAAGCCCCAGCCTCCCCTTCCCCAAGCCATCTGAAGCTGTGATGGGGAAGCCTTGGCCCTCACTCTAGGCTGGTATCTGCTCAGTAGTGAGGCCACAAGCCCACCTGCCCACCCAGAAGAGATGGAGCAGGTGACCCTGTGTGCACAGCACGTCCCTCAAAAACGAGGCTCATGGAGGAAGTTAGTGTCCCATAGACCATTATTCAGGAATAGGAATGGTTCTTGGGGGGCACTTATCACACTGAAGAGTGAAATTCCAAGGAATGGAGTGGGATGTCTATCTATATCGAGTTCACATAACTCTAACCCTTGATGAGACATGAGGTGAGGGCAGAGGGCTTCCGCAGATTTATCCCAATCTCCCCAGGAATGTGCAGGTCGTCTTGGGGTGCAATGGTCATTGGAAGCACCCAACAATCCCAACTGTGACTCTGGCATCTCAGCTCCATCTCTCTGAGCATGTCCTCTGTTTAGGAGGGACCTGGCTGGTGTTCCCAGTAGGAAATGCCAGCCTCATTCCTCCAAGGAGACCTAGGAAATATCCCCTGTAACCACAAAGGCTATAATATGGTGTCAGGATTGGTTGGGTGTCTTAATGTGTTGGTCAAAGGTGAAATGTGAGCTGGCATCTTGATTGTGGTCTCCAAACACCACCTTCCACAGCACCAAGGGTAAATGGTCAATTTCTGGCCTGAAGCAGGCAAGGTACAAAATGAGTCTGGGACATCTTGTCACCATGGAGAGCAGGAATCTATCAAGGTCCTCTGGGGTCTCAGGAAGTCTCAGGAGGACCCAGAAGACACATGAAGAGGCTCCCAGTATCAAAAAATGAGACATGCACATAATCAATAAAATATAATCTCAGCCAAGTAGTTCAATGGGACAGAATAAATAGTCCAGAAATAGGCCCACACAAATATAGTCAACTGTTCTTTGACAAAAGAGTAGGTGAATTCAATGGAGAAAGGATAGCTTTTTCAACAAATATTGCTGGAACTACTGGACATCCATGCACAAAAAATGAATCTAAACACACAGACTTTACACTTTTCACAAAAGTGAACTCAAAATGAACCACCAACCTAAATGTTAAATGAAATACTATACAACTCTAGAAGATTAAGTAGGAGAAAATTTAGGTGATGGTGCATTTGATGAGGAGTTTGTGATATAACACCAACAGCATGATCCATAAATGAAAATATAGACAAGTTGTAGTTCAATGAAATTAAAAATTTCTCCTCTACAAAAGATACTATCAAGAGAATGAAAAAAACAAGCTACAGTCTAGGATAAAATCTTTGCAAAACATGTATCTGATAAAGGACTTCTAACCCCGATATAAAAAAAACTCTTAAAACTCACAATAAGTAAATAAATAACTCAATTAAAAGGTGGGCAAAAGATCTGAACAGACACCTCACCAAAGAAGATATATAGATGACAAATAAGCATATGAAGATGGCCCATATTATATGCCATTAAGGAGTTGCAAAATCAAACAACAGTGAGATAGCACTACACAACCTTTACAATGGCTAAAATCCCTAACACTGACAACATCAATTGCTGCCTGGGATGTGTAGCAACTGGAGCTCTCACTCATTGATGATGGGAATGCAAAAAGCCACTTGGAAGACAATCTGGCAATTTCTTACAAAGCTAAATGCAGGTTTACTATATGATTCAGCAGTTATACTCCTAAGTATTTACTCAAATGAATTTGATAAAACTTATGTCCACACAAAAACTGGCACATGAATGTTTATAGCAACTTTATTAGTAATTGTTAAGAATTGGAAGCAACAAGACGTCCTTCCATTGGTGAAGTAGTAAACAAGCTGTGTTACATCCAGACAATGGATTATCACTCAGTGATAGAAAGAATTGAGTTGCCTAGTTACAAAAAGACATGGAAAAACATTAAATGCATATTGATAAGTGAAAGAAACCAGTTTGAAAAAGGCACACACTGTATGATTCCAAGTGTATGACATCTTGACAAAGGCAAAACGCTAGAGATACAGTAACAAAGTTGAGCAGTTCCCAGGGATTCAGGAACAGGAGAAAGGATGAATAGGTGGATCAAAAGACATTTTAAGAAAAGTGAAACTGTTCCATATGATAATGTAATGTTAGACACCTGAACTTATGCATTCTTCAAAACCCACAGGACTGTACAGCACAAAGAGTGAACCCTAATGTAAACTATAGACTTTATTTAGTAATAATGTATCAGTACATGCTCATCAAAAATAACAAATGTACAATAATGCAAGCTAGCTGTTAGAGGGGATATATGGGAACTCTGTTCTCTCTGTGTAATTTTTCTGTAAACCTGAAACTGCTCTAAAAATTAAAGTTTATTAAAAAAACTATATAATCTGCAGTGGGGTCTAGAGGGTGAAGGAGGTTGCATCAACGTGTAAAGTGTTACCTGTCTGTAGCCCTGACACCACATTGTCCCCCTGACCTGGCCTAGTCTGACCTGACCTTGACTCTAATCCTGAATTTTGCTCTGACATCCCCTCTGAAGAACAATCATCAGAGGCCCGTTATGCGCCTGGGACTGTGCACTTTCTCATCCCAATTTCACCGATGTCCCCTCCCCAAATTGTGTTACCATCAACAATCTACATCCATAAACCTGCCCCTAACTCTATATCCAAACCTGATGATACACACTGAGAGTTCATCATGGACATTCCCAGCCCCATGCTGAGCTGACCTGACCCCACACGTCAGAACTGAAGAAAGGACTTGTGTGTGTCTTAGCCTCATCCCCATTTTTTTTATTGTACTTTAGGTGAAAGTTTACAGAACAAATATTTTCTCATTAAACAATCAGTACACATATTGTTTTATGACATTGGTTAACAAACCCATGACATGTCAACATGCTCCCTTCTTGGCCTTGGAAGATCTTTTTTTTTTTTTTGGTGAAAATATACATAGCCAAAGACACACCATTTCAAAAAATTTCTACAAGTAAAATTCAGTGATGTCAATTACATTCTTCCAGTTGTGCTGCTATTCTCACTTTAGATGAAGGTTTACAGAACAAAATAGTTTCTCATTAAACAGTTAGTACACATATTGCCCCATGACAATGTTTAAGAATGCCACTACATGTCAACACTGTCCTTACTCAAACATGGGTTCCCCATCACCAGCTTTCCTGTCCCCTTCTGCCTTCTAGTCCTTGTCACTGGACATCTGTGCCTCATTAGTCCCATTTTGTTTTATGGGGCTGTCCAATCCCCAGATGAACGGTGAACCTCAGAAGTGACTTCAACACTGAGCTAAAAGGGTGTCCGGTGACCATACTTTTGGGGTTTCTCCAGTCTCTGTCAGGCCAGTAAATCTGGTCCTTCTTTTTTGTGTTAGAATTTTGTTTTACATCCTTCTCCAGCTCTGTCCAGAACCCTCTTTTGTGATCCCAGTCAGAGCAGTCAGTGGTGGTAGCCAGACACCATCTAGCTGTACTGGACTCAGTCCGATGGAGGCCTTGGTAACTGTGGTCCATTAGTCCTTTGGACTAATCTTTTCCTTGTATCCTGTTCTTTTTTTCATTCACCCTTGCTCCCAAAGGGGTGAGATCAGTGGAGTATCTTAGATGGCTGCTCACAGGCTTTTAAG